TATAATATTAAGAGTTTAATTAAAAAATCTTAATTTATATTTGGAGAAAACTTATCCTTAACTTTTATACTATTAATTTATTTACATGACAACTCATATGGTTGCCATTAAGTTAGAACAACGGCAAAAAATTTAAAGAATTGTGTTAACAGTTAACTGACGACGTATAACGGTGAAAATAAACGGCTCAAGTAACACCATCCAAATAAGGACGACATTGAATGGGAAAAGGTCAGTAGAGGGGTGACGTTGATTAGTGTTTGGGAGGTAAAGGGATGAAGATGAATAAATCCTTAATAGAAGGACGGGCATGAACAAGAAATAAAAGTAGAGGGACAATAATTGACTTTAACTCAAAAAAACAAACTAACATAATCAAAAGTTAAAGGTAAAAAACTCTATTTGCACCCTCCATTTTTATCATTTTCGTGATGAATACTTTCCAATTTTTTTTTTCTTGTGCATACCTTCCACTTTTCAAAACCCGTAAAAAACTTAATATTTTAACAGGACATCACGGCATCATTAATAACCATTAAAAAATACAATATGTAGCATTCAAATAATGACATAGGTGTTATGTGGTATTATTTATCTAATGTTGACACTTTTTTGATGATGTGGCATGATGACATGACATAATTTTAATCTGAAAACCTCCCAACCAAAAAAAAAAAAAAAGATTGAGTCCCACGAGGAACCCAATCGGGTTCCTCAAGACGAGGAACCTGATCTGGGTTCCTCACGACGAGGAACTTGATTTGGGTTGTTCGACAAGGAACATGATCTCAGTTCCTCACGACGAACCCGATCTGGGTTCCTCGACGAGGAACCCAAAGCTGGGTTCCTCACGACGAGGAACCCAAAGCTGGGTTCCTCGTCGAATCCAGTTTGTACCTTTTTTTAGCCTTTCTTTTCTATGATTCTTTCTAGTTTTGATAAAATAATAAGACGATAATTTGATTCTTTGATGGGTTCTTAAATTTTTTTGCAAGTGAATTAATTCTTTGATGGGTTCTTAAATTTTCTTACAAGTGAAATTAAGAGATTGTTCTTCCATGGAGGTTGGGTTCCACAAGGAACCCAAAAGCAACTCTGGGTTCCTTGTCGAGTAACTCGATGGGTTCCTCACAACAAGGAACCCAGAACTGGGTTCCATCGTGAGGAGCTGGGTTCCTTGTTGAACCAAGTTTGTACCTTTTTTTGGCCTTTCTTTTCTGTGATTCTTTCTGATTTTAATAGAATAATGAGATGATGATTTGATTCTTTGATGGGTTCTTAAATTTTTTTTGCAAGTGAATTAAAAGATTGTTCTTCCATAGAGGCTGGGTTCCACAAGGAACCCAAAAGCGATGACCTAGATTTGAGTCCTTCCATGCGGTACATGCAGTGGGTCTTACTGTACACATGGTGTCCACATGTGCAGAAAATAAGTCACATCATCAAAAAAAAGATCCACATTAGATTACTAACATCATATAGTGTCACATCAATTTTTAGGTGCTAAATAATGCGTTTTTAATAGTGTTGTGACGACTTATTAAAATATTGAGTTTTTCACGAGTTTTGAAAAGTAAAGAGTGTGAATAAAAGAAAAAATTTTTTAAATATTAATTACAAAAATGATATAAATAGATGATGCGAATAGGGGTTTTGACCGAAGTTAAAACCTCGATACATGGATTCATGTGTTCGAGTTTTTGTTGGTTCTTTTTGAGTGGTTGTTGCGGAGTGGGTGTAGTCAATGTCATCCTCGTAACAATACTAACATGATTGAAAGTTGAAACCTTTACGTGTGGCTTCATGTATTTGAATTTTTGTTGGTTCCTTGTGACTGGTGTTCCCAATGCATTGAGT